TGGTCACTAACTGAAGACTACCTGTATTTTTTAAAATATTAATCAATTATTAATATTAATAATTCCAGTATTTTTGTCTTACCACATTATAGCTTCCCCCCCCCCCCTTTATTACATTCATAGACAGTCTCTCTCTGCCTTTGTCACTTTCTGTTCTCTCTGATTTTATATTCTGAGTTCAAGGATGAATAAATTGGATAAGATGACACCTTCTTACTTATTTCCCTTGCATCCATAGAAAAAGGGAGGAAAAGCAAAAAGTGTATAGATTACTCATCCTTTGACATTATCTGAATAGATTTCTTTTACTATCATGCTGACTTAATTTTTCATAATTAATTTCCAAATAATGGCATATTATCTCATTTTTCTACATTACCAAGCCCCTGCCCCCAATTTCATTAATCAATGTCCAAACTAGAGAAACCAAACTGCTTTAATATCTATTCCTTGAAAAAACTAATCTAATAGCAATATATGAAAGCATTAAGTGTTTGTATAGACTACGTTTAAATAGGACATTCATGACCATATGCTAAATGCTTCTGGCTTTATTATATCTAGTACTGTGATGTTTTCTCAAATCACTCACTCCCCCCCCCCTTATTTTCAGAGGTGAAGAACTGGACAGAAGAGCCTGAATTCTTTCCCCTGTATTCATTCTCACAACTGCAAAATTCTCTTCATGTTTTTCCTGCTGCTTTATGTAGTCTGTTTATTAGGAAATGGGGCCATGTAGAGTCCTTCAAAAGGGGGATTTTGATTTAGAATCTTCCTTCTAGTAGATCCTTTTAGCTGAAATTTCTAGAATTAGATGACAAGTGTCTATACGTTAAGGCTCTCTGACTCTGAAGCTTTCACACCCAGTCCCAAGCAAAGGCCTGCTCTAAAGATACCACGGCAGAGGGCTGAGCTCCACAGGTCAGATAGACTGGCCAAGAAGCAGGCTGGCAGGAGAGTAATGTGCCTCAGCTGGGCATCTGGGTAGTGGCTCAGCCTGCCTAATGTATTGGCCTCCTGACCTGACAGAAAATGCTGAGAGTGACTTTTCAAGCCTCAGCTCTGTTGGCTTCACCTTGTTGTGTTGTACTTTGAACTCTGGATTCTACCTCAGGGTGTCTCTTGCCTTTTCCCTTGGATTTGTGGCTTATTTATTGGACTCCTAGTCTCGATCTGTGCCAACCCTTGATCACGTCACCATCTTTAGCTATAGGTAAAAAAGACTCTTTGCTTTTAAAAAGTTCTGCTTGAGTTTGCAGATCTATGGACTGTGGCAGGTATCCAGCTTGCTATCTTGCTCGCTGGAGCTAGCCACACTGGCACAGAAAACTACATGTACTATGTACAAATATGTACAACCACTGCAATTTTGGGGGTGGGGCAGGGCTCGGAGGCAATCTAGGACAATGTTTCTCAGCCTTGGCAACTTTAAGATGTCTGAACTTCAACTCCTAGAATTCCCAAGCCACGGTGGGAAGTCCAGACATCTTAAAGTTGCCAAGGTTGAGAAACACTGATCAAGGAGTTCTCCAAACTCCTTCATGATATTTAACCAAACATGTTAGATGTATAGAACTACTGGCCAAGTAAAATTTCTTTTCAGACGTGATCATTACATTCATATTAAACATTTTTTTCCCCTTAAATGCACTAGGATTATCTACTTCAAGTTCCTTTTCTTGGTGTAGATGGAAGCAGTCATCTCTTCACCTGATCAAGCTGAACAGCCTGTGAAGGAGTTTTAGTGGCGCTGGGTAACTTTGAGGCAGAAATTTTGTTGTTTAGTCGTTAAGTCGTGTCCGACTCTTCGTGACCCCATGAACCAGGCGCCAGGTCTTCCGGTCCTTCACTGCCTCCCTGAGTTTGCTCAGTTTCATGCTCATA